CTTCCCCTTCTCCTTCTCCTTCCCTTTCCCCTCCTCCTCCTCTCCTTTCTCTCCCTTTTCTCTCTCCTCTTTCTTCTCCCTCTCCCTCTCGCAGTGACACCAGCGCCATCCTCCTGGGGACAGAAGTGAGGCCACACAGCTTTGCCTTTGTGCCCCATAACCGGGAGGATGAAGCCCCCATCCCCATCCCCCCGCCCGCCCCTGCAGCGCTGGGCTCCGGCAGGAAGCTGCTTTTAAAGCCCCTTCCCCTCGTGTGGACTCTGTCGTTCCCGTCTCTGATCGTTCAATGGTTATTTTGTAATGATATCTGTCTCCTTATTAAAGAAACAGCTGAAAGGAGCCCTGCTGCCCTGCTGGTTTTGCTTCTGGGGTGAAGTTCTGGGGACACGTGAGGGCATTTCAGAGCTCAGCTTTCAGCTTCACCAACTCATAGAATCACAGTTTGAGTTGGAAGGGGCCATTAAAGGCCACCCACTCTGCAATGCAACCCTGGGGGTCTGCAGGGATGGGGCAGCACTGCCTCTGTGTGCAGCCCTCATCCCATCTCACACCACTGCTGCGCTCCATCCCCTTCCTTCTCACAGCCCCTTCAGGCACTGCTCTCAGGAGGGCTTCCATCTCTGGGACCACTTTTGCAGCTCTTCATCTGGGGGTGTCAGCTTCCAGGTAACTGAGATGGGAGGAGATGGGCTGAGATGGGAGGAGATCTGCCCACCCCTCCCCGGCCCCATAAAGTCGGACTCGAAGACACAGTTTCTATTTTATCAACTCTTATTTTATTTATTTATAAATACTGTTGTGTTTACAAGCATCATAGATGTGAATATTATTCCCAAACTTTCAAACACATAATACTTATAATACTATATAACAACAACCAGTAAAACAAATCATTCATCTCAGGGTTTGAAAGGCCACTCAAAGTTGCATAAAAATACATTCTCTCCCCATCTGGAACGCAGTCCTGCTTCCTCCAGGAAGTTATTTACAAAGAGCCACCATCAAACTCGCAGCCACAACAGGGTTCACCCCAAGCAATAAAAACGAATTCACCCCAAGCACTGCTTAGAAAAAAAGCTCCGTGTTCTCCAAAGGAGGCACGTCAGACAAACTCAGCTTCAAGGAGGGAGCAGCGTTAAAATCCGCTTCCTTTGCGCTCCGTGCCCAGCGCAGAGCACGGCGTCGCACCCACCGCCACCTCGGTGCTTCCTGCAGACGCACTGAGAGCCCCGAGTCCTCCTCACCCGCGGGGTTTGCGCTCCCATCGTCAGCACGGAGCGTCGGCTGCGAGCACGAAGGGGCGAGCAGCGCTGCATCCCAGCGGCGCTTTGGCTCCGCGCCCTTCGCATAACGGCTCCTCGTGGGCAGAGCGCAGCGGCAGCCCCTGCAGGAAGGGGCGCAGCGCCGGTGCGGATGTCGTCAGCTCGGGCTGAGCTTCTCCCAGCAGCCGGGAGCTCGGGCTGTCCCTGCCTGCGGACCGGGATTGGGACAGGGCAGCGCTGCTGCAGCCAAGCCCGGGGTGAGGGTGGGAGAGAACGTGGAGAGATGCAGCAGCGCTCACACAGGGCGCACCGAGGGGGAGCGGCGTGCAGGGAAAGCACTGACCGGAGCACAGGGCTTAAAGCTGTTCCATAAAGCAGGGATACGTGAAGCAGTAATACTGCCTGCCCGGTGTGGGCAGCGCTCTGCAGGAGCCCCGGTGATGCCAAAGCGCTTCTCCTCCTCCCCGAAGCACAGCAGCAGAGGAACGGCCGCGCTGCACCGGAGAATGGCGCAAAGAGGAGCAGTGGGAGCTCCGTGCTGAGCTGCCCTGAGCCCAGCCAGCAGAGAGAGCTGAGGTGGGATGGGAGGACGGGAGGAGAAAATGGAGAATTAGAAAGAAACAAAAAAGCCCCCAGGGAGAGGAAAATGCACAGGTGATAACCAGCAGGAGGCTCCAAGAAGCCCAGGACAGGCAGATGAATTTTTACCCTGTTGAGCAAACTTAGTTGTACTCATGTTCAAGTATCCATCTGCACCTCAGCACAGAGCTGCCGTGCGCGGCTGCTGCCACTCCGAGCACGAGGAGCCCATGGCACAAAGTGGGAAACGGAGGGACAAAGGCAATGAGGGGGGAGGATGAGGGAGAGGGGCTGCACACTGCGAGGAGAGCGGTCTGGTATGGGAGCTCAGCAGGGCAGCATGCAGCACATGCAGGAGTCGCTGCCTGAATGCCCACAGGGAGAACAATTTCAAACTGTTCTGAGTCCGTACAACATACAGAGGGTTGGGTTTTGTTTTTGTTTTTTGAGGTTTCCTTCAAGGCTGAGGCGGACTGCAAACTTCTGGTGGATGAAAAGACTCTGATGCAGCTCCCAGCATTCCCACTCAGCTCCCAGCCCCCAAAGACCCCCGGGCACCTGGAGCACAGCTACTGCAGCTCCGTGCCCAGTGCCCCAAAGCCCACCTGCGAGGATCTGTGCCACCAGGGCTCATTGCCCCCCTCATTTCCATTCCCCAGAAACAAAACCGTGCTGCGGTTCAGCTGGTCAGCCTGATGCTGAAAAGCCATTGCAGGACCTGAAATATCTGCCCAGGCTCCTCTGCAGGGCTCTGCCTGATGGCAGCCTCCCAACCAACACACCACACCAGGCTCCTTCTTCAGAAAGTTTGGCAAATGTCTGCAATTCCATCCTGAGAACAGCGGTCCGGGTGCAGGTCCCAGGTGCTGCTGAGTGCAGGGAGCTTGGTGGGAGCCCCAGGGTTTGCAGCACGGCACCCCATCACCAGCTGCACAGGAAGGGCATTTACCCACCAGATCTGCAATCTGACATTAAATAAAAACCAGCCAGGTCTCTGTGCAAAGCAGCCGTCCCCACGTGCTGAAGGAATCAGCTCTGCTGCCGTTCCTCGTAGCATCACATTTCAACCAAAGTCCCACATTGCACACGGGCTGATGGGTGTCTGCAGAATCCTGGCCCACGGTCCAGGTCCCACCTGCAAAGGGCACAGATGTGCAGCACCAGCTCCGTGGGCATCGCTTTGCACAGCAGAGCTCCCTCCCAAACACCGTGGGCTGCTGGAAGGAGAAGTTTTGGCAGCTCAGCACCACTCCACATCCTCCTCCCTTGAGTCAAACGTCCGAGATAGCACAACATGCTGAAATTAAAACAGAATGGCCGGGGTGTGTGCTGTGGGGGGGAAAGGGCAGACAGGGAGCGTCCAGCCGAGGGCAGGGAGGAGCGATGCTGATGCCGTGGCTGCAATGCTGCTGCGCGGGGGGCAGGAGGAAGGGGCAGGGCTCAGCAGGGCACCCCCCCGTCCTGCAGCTCGGCTCCCTACTTGGAGAGTTTGCTGATGACACGAATGAGTGCCCCGTTTTCGTCCTTCAGCCTTTGATTGTCCGATTTCAGCTCCGTCAGAATCTGCACAAACACAAAGAGGGCCGGGGTTACAGTAGGGCTGGGGCTCAGCTCAGCTCGGCTCCTCACACAGCAAAGCCCCCAGGAAAGCGGTGCCACGGAGCTCAGTTGGGACCATTTCTGAGCCCTTTCATCCAAACCTCCTCCCACAGGGCCTGGCAGAACAGAAAGCTACCAAGGCAGCTTTTCCCTGTGTCCATTTCCCCATTTGTCCAGGCCTGACAAGTTTTCTGCCTTGGACTTCTAAATCAGGACGGGGCTGAGATCTTTAGAGCTGATCTTTAGAACAAAGCATCTCTCTGGGATCACACAACATTTAATGTCAGTGCTCACACTGTGGTCCCACAGAACATCCCAGAGAGCTGCACAGTGAGTGGCTGCAGCGGAGAAAAACACAGACCTCCAATTAAACAGAGAGGGAAACAAACACCACCAACAAGACCTTCCCAGCACCTCCTCCTGGCCAACAAACCCTGACCCTCCTGCTTCCCGCACTGCAGACCCTCAGGGAGCAGCTCTGGGGCTGCCCAGGCAGGAGGAGCAGAACAGCACTGGTGCTGTGTGGGGGGGTCCCAGCTGGAGGTGGCACAAAGCCCAGCGAGCTGAGCGCTGACTGACCTGCGTCAATGCAGACCTTGGAGGAATTCCTCTGAAATGAAATCCCCACTGCAGAGCTGCTCTGCCTTCTCCCCCTTGGCGCTGGAGCCCTGGCCCTGCCTGCAGGCAGCTCTACCCCAGCTCACAGCAGCGCTGCTCTGCGTCCCTGCACAGCTCCTGTAGCCCCACGTGCTCCATCCCCTTCCCAAAGGAAGAGGTACCAGGGGCTGCACCCCACCACACAGTGGCCATTGGAACAGATGCTGTGGCTCATCATGGAATGAAGCCAAATTGCAGGCAGTGCCCAACACCGAGTGCCCAGGAATGGTGAGAAGGGCAAAGGGTTTGTGCCCTCACTCTGCACTTCCATTCCCTCCCAGTGACTCATCCTCACTCTCTGAAGGAGCAGTGATGCTTTGGCACAGGCTGCCCAGAGGTCACAGCGCTCAGACGCTGTGGGCACTGAGGAGATGGCAGTGGGCACAGCGTGGTGGGGCTGGGGATCTCAGAGGACTTTTCCAGCCTTCATGACTCCATGGTTCTGAGCACACTGCCTCCACGTCCACAGCAATCGAAGGGCTGAGCCGTCTGCTGAGGGCTGCACACAGCCCCCATCCCCTCTCTGTCACTGCCTGGGGTGGCTCTGCAGCATCCATCCCCATTTCACAGCTTACCAATGCTGGCTGTGCTTTACAAAAACACTTCAGTGCAACTTTGGTGATTTATTGGAATGGGAGGAATGGAACAACGTGCTTCCTGAAGCTTCCTGGCTGTTGCTCGGCTCCATCAGTTTCCAGTGAAGCTTTCTGGAAGTCACATGTCAGCCTTGCAAAGTGCAGAGCCTCTCGAGCAGAGGACACTCCTCCCTTCACTGCAAACCAGGCTCAAGCCCCACAAAATAAAAAGCACGTGAAGCAGGGCTGTACTGCAGGGGTCTGAGCAATGCTGCTCTGTAAACGTCTGTTAGAATGGCACAGAGGGACGGGGCCAGGAGGGCTCAGCCCCACGATGCTGATGTGCAGCGTCAGCACAGAGCGAGCTGCGAGCTGAGCTGTGTGCACTGCGACACACAGAAGGTGACACTGCAGAAATGATGTGGATTTTGGAAAATGAGATTCTCCGTGAAGTGCCACTGCAGTAAATCTGTCAGTTGAGAACAGTGACACGGCTGTACAGCTGTGATGTCCAAGGACAGCAAGGAGAGCAGCTGACAGGCAGCAGCAGCATCCCCTGCTGCACCTAAGAGAAGGGCTGAGGAAACCCAGCAGGGACGCAGCGCTGCTCCAGCAGGCAGCACTCAGCCTGCAAGCAAGCGGGGAGCGAGCATCCATCAACACCACAGCCTGCAATGGGACAGGGAGCAACGGGCAGAGAGGGAAAGCGGAGCTGCAATGGTTTCCTAACAGAAGAAGAGAGACAGGTGGCTTAAAGTCGGTGAAGCATCGCTGCTTTGAGGCTGTGGGAACAAGGGGGGCAGGGCCAGGCATGGGGCGACTTCTGTGGACTCAAAGCGGGCGCGTGGGGAGGCCGTTCCCTCTGACCCACAACACAAAGCAGCTGGAGCAGATCGTGGGCTCTGGCACTGAGGCTCGGGGAAGGGAAGCCCCAATTCCCCTGCTTAGTTTGTTTCTATGGTTAATCATCTCTGATATAATTTGTGTGCTAAGAATAGGCTTTTTCATACCTCAGTGCCACTTCCATCCCACCAGAGCACAGTGGTTCTTTTTTCCTTTAGGAAAAAATAGCCCTGTCTGTAGGGACCCAAATATCCCTACTAACCTGCAGAAGGCGTGCAGGACCCAGCGAAGGGAGGAGGCACAGCTTTATGCCAGCACTGAGGCAACGGAGCAGCAGGAAAGGATGCAGTGTGACGTGAGGGTGCAGCTCCCAAGGCTCACAGCCCCATTTCTCTGCAGTGACTCCCAGCACACAGTGAGTGCACACTGCAGGTCGGCTCCGCTCGCACCGTCCCGCAGGAGGCAGCACGGATGCTGCAGTGCTCAGCTCACACCTCCACCTTCCACTGCTTCACAGGAGGGAAGGAGCTTGTTTTCATTGCTTAAGAAAACAAGAGAAAGTGCCGAAGGCTGATCGGTTTGGGATTCTCTTGAAATCACCTTCCTCTCTAAAATGCGCATTTTTCATGACGCCCCTGGAAACTCATTAATCATTCATCGCGACTTTGCATAACGCCAGCATCCTGCTGAACTCAGCCTGCCGACACCTCGATCAGACACACAGCACAGCGATGGCAAGGGGCACCGCCACCGACGGCAGCCGGCTGCTGAGCCACAGGGAAGCATCCGAGCTCCCAGCCCTCAGTGCCACCCATCCGCTGCCGTGCCGGGTCCTGCTGCTCTTCCGGGCAAGGAGAAAGCAGCCCCCCCTGCTGCGGGCTGTTAGTGGGACGGCGGAGGTCAGCAGCTGCCAAGCAGAGCGGGGTCAGCAGAACTGAGAGCACACCGTGCGGGGAAGCCCTGCCTGGAGAGCAGCGAGCCGGTGCTTGCAGAGCTTCGGCCGCATGCAGCCTGCAGCCCAGCCAGCCAGGGGAGACACGGCCACGGGAGCGGAGACCTGCCTGGAGGATGGAGGAGGGAGGCGAGATGAGCCGGACGGCAAATGGCTACAGCTCCTCTGATTCGGAGGGCTTGGCAGGCAGCGAGAGCCTGGCCACAACCCGCGTCAGAGCCCTGTTCTCGGCCAGCAGCTGCTCGTTCATCTGCCTCAGAGTGTGAATCTGTTTGAGCTGGTGGAGGTTCTGCAGAGAGGGACAGGAGGGGACGGGAAGATACGGAGAGAACACACCGTGGAGACAAAAGGGCACAGAAAGGTGAATTTAGTCCACAAGGGGTAAAAGAATAGAGAAAAAGAAAAGAGAAATGAGTAGCGGCGAGTGCTGGGTGGGCAGCAGCTCAGATGTGCACACTGAAAGCCCTCCGGCGCACTGACAGCATGTGGGGAGCCTGCCCTTCCCCCAGGGACCCCAAAGCCTTTAGAATGCTCCTAAGTAAGCGGATTTCCCACCCAAAGCAGGATGGTCCTTAAGGGTGATTTTCTAATGACCCATAATGAGCTCCACCAGACACAGCTGTGGGAGTGAGCCACTGTGCAAACCATCATGCTGCCCCACCGCCACCATGGGCACGGGGAGCACTGGGAGCACTGGGAGCACTGCTGGCACCTGAGAGTTTCTGTGCCACTCCTCCCATGCATCTCTGAACACGGAAGCAGCTGCGCAGCAGCGAGCAGAGCTGCAGCAGAGCCTCTGCAGGGCACAGAGCTGAGCCATGCTCACAGCCATGCTCACAGCCAGGCTCTTGGCTCTGCTTCCCACAGCTGTGGGGTGGGCGTGGGTTCTTCCAAATAACCCGGCCCAAATTCAACTCTTCTTTGCCACAGGGCTCAGCCTTCAGAAGGAAAAAGGTAAGAACTGAAAGCACTCGTTTTTAATGACGGGAGCTTGAATGAGAACAGCCTGAGGAGGAGGCAGACAGAACACAGTGCTGCTCAGTACAGAAACCACAAGAGCACAGAACAGGGCAGGAATGGGCGCCCAGGAGGGGTGGCACAGCCACACTGCGGCACAGAGACACGGCGTGGAAGCACAGGGGAAGGCAGAGCAGAAAGCTGGGCAGACATCACTGCTGCTCACACAAGGAGGACGCATTTCCAGCAACACTACAGCAAAATGGATCGACACCAACACTGAATGGACACCAGGAGGTGTGAGGGCCGAGCGCTGCCTCCTGCACTGCATCCCTGCCCTGGGGTGGGGGGCAGGAAGGGAAGCACCCTCCAAAGGAGGGATTTTGGCTTCAAGAGACAAATCCCAGCCCAAGGCAAAGCGTCCTCCGTCCCTCCTGCAGCCTCCCCACACCTGTGTGTGTGGGGATGGAGGAGATGAAGGGGCTGCAGGGAGCTCCTTCCTGCCATGGGTCCCAAGGCAGCACTGCCTGCAAAATGACACCACCCTTAGCCAGGGCAGCGTTGGCACAGCTGTGAGAACTTCCACCTGATGTGCATGGAGCTGCCAGAGCTCCGCACAGAACTGCTGCATGCAGGGATGTTCTGTTTGAGGGCTCAGTGCCACACAGAGGCATTTTGGGCAGCCAGCAGTGCAGCCCCAGCTGCCCCTAAGCACTACCTTTGCTCCTCATGAAGGAATGGAGACCGCGTCCAAAAGCCTCACGATGCCAACGAAGGGATGCAGAGCAGGAAAGGACGGGGCTTGAGCCCAGCTGGCTGTGCAACCGCTCCTGCATCCAAGGGAGCACAGCTCCTGCTGCCTGGCCTTCACTGCACCGCTCTGACACCGGACAGACAGACAGCTCAGGGGACAGACACCCTCCCCATCCCCAGATCCCAGCCAGCACGACCTGCCCCACTGCGCCGGCTGGACAAAGGACAGACAGACATCACTGTGTCCATCCTGCACCCAGGAGCTGCTGGTTGGACTGCGAGGGCCGTTTGTTCCTGCGGTATCGCAGCTTATAAATGCTGTCTGCTTTATTACAGCTGAGCATCTGGCTGGCAGAAAATGGCCAACATATGTAGAACGCAGTGCGTGCTTCGTGGGGTAGAAAGGATTGTGATCACTTCAGAGACCATCCTCGCTTCCCACACCAACAGAGCACGAACTGCAGCACAGCACGAGCAGACGCAGCTCAGCTCAGCGCTCTGTGCAGCTGGGAAAGGATCACCTGTGCAAAAATGTGCGTGTGCTGCAGGTCGGATGGCTTCCTATTTATCATGCTCAAAGACAGCGAGCGAAGGCTGAGAGCTGGGCTGAAGCCAAAGGCAAAGACCAGAATGTGGATGATCCTGCTGTGATTGCTTATCGCTCTGCTTGATTCTTGGCTTACAGAAAGCAGGCTCCTCGGTTCAGCTGTACTTGCCTTCAATTAAAGGGTTTTGTGCCTGCAACACTCAGGGAAATCAGGATGCCCAAAGCATGCACAATGTACCAAGCCAGGAGGTGCGGCGCTGCTTCAGAGTAAAGAAGCTTCTGTGACCTTCAAGGAAAATTGCTGTGTTAAGTTGGGACCTCAGGCACTTGGCATTGAAATCAGTTCAGTGCAAATGCTAATTTTCTTTCTCCTTCCTCAGCCAAGTTGCTGCTGTATCTCCAGTCAAACCCTGCAGTCACTCAGGAAAATGCTGTACTGCTGTGTCACCTTCCCAAGGGCTGCAGGAGCCCCTCCAGCACCACGGAGCTCCCTGCCATCACCAGTTTCACCATGCTCCTCTCCCCTTCTTGGCAGCTTCACCAGCAGCAGCTCAACTTATGGAAGGAACAAAGCTGGTAACCTCAGCTTGGGCTGAACTACACAGCATTGCTGTCACAGCAACCCAGGACCTTCCTGTGACATTGCTGTGCCTCCTCTTCCCAAGGAGTCAGCTGCTCCCAAACTGCTCTGGACTCAGTGCCAGCCAAAGAGCAAACAGCTGCAGGTGAGCCCTGATGGACTGGTTCCATTCAGATGCTGGGAAGAATCCCAGTGACTGCAGTATGACTCAGAACCCAACACCATGGCATGGCTGGGATTCCCCTTGCTGCTCTCCACCTTATAGGGAACTGGTGGATTTGCTTAAATTGCTCTTTCTGATGCTGCTCAATAGCTATTCAATTAGCAAAAGTAGCAGGAATGCAAGCATAGCCAGTACTAAGAGATTTGTTTTCCTGGCACTACTGACTCAGGATTAATGCAGGGACTAATACAGATGTTCTGCAGAGGTTATCTCATTCTACACAAGCAAAGCTGGGCTGCATCCTGCTTTAAGATGTGATGTAAGTGGACGTGGAAAGCCTGCCTTCCTTCTGGACTTCCATTGTCAGAGCCTTCACACTTGTTTGCATGTCACAGCACAGTCAGGTGCTCAACACATGCTCGAGTTTTTGCAAAGCCTGGTGGGGTGGAAACCCAGCAGTGCCTCAGAAGAGACACTTTCAAATTTCACATCTATTTATTCCACTAACAAAAGGCTGCTTGGGTCTGCAGAAAGAGGCAGCATCACTCCCAAGGAGCTGAGCTCGTTCTCAGGCAGACCACGGGCTGCTGCAGCCATGTGCTGCCTCCTGCATGGCCAGCAGCTTCAGGGTAACACAGGAACACACCAGACTTCACGTGCTGCTTTTCCCACAGCACCTTCTCAGCTCCCATCCACCTGCAGCTCCCGGCTCCCCCAACCAGAGAAGCTGTGGCTGTGTCCAGCAGTCCCTGCAGGCATCTTCTCTCATTAATTGCTTTCTGAACCAATAGAAGTGCTCAAAACCAACAGGCCACTAGAGGACACCAATTTGTCTTTTTACTCCATGGACTGAGCTGGTTTGTGCAGAGATCTGCAGGGCTAAAGCAATGCCACAGAGTGCTCCTGCCCGTGCTTTCTCTTGGAGGCTGCATTTCTGTAACGATAGGAAAGTCCCTCCGGAGTTCACGGTTGCCACTTGCTGAAAGGAGGAAGGATTTGGAATCCAGGCACCCTCAGCCCTTGGTTGCTCCCCTTTGAGCACATCCACATTCATTTTGTCCTCTTTGAAAGACCAAGAGAGCCTTTGCAGCAAGACTCCACCAAATTGTTGAGACTTATTGCAGTAGAAGACGCAGCAAAAGCCAATCTATCCTTTCAAAGGTGTATGCCTGGTAAAGATATGAAGCTTGAAATAGAAGCACAAAGCGGGAACCACCTTGAGGGTGGCAGGAATCATTTCCATCAGCGCACCGCTGACATCCCCAGGTCCTGCCTTGTCAGAGCGACGCGGTCCCACCTGGATCATCCTCAGAGGGGAGGGAAGCACAGCACGCAGGACCAGAGGGCCGTTCTGTGAGGACAAGCATTCAAGTGCAGCATAAAATCACGGAACGCTGCAGGATCACTGTGAAGCTGTAGGTGCACCCAGGTGGCAAACGCTGCATCTGCACTGCGGTGCTCCCTGCCAGCCGCGGGGCTCCGTCCCAGCAGGGCCACGGGAGGGGAAGGCAGGGAGCAGTCGGTGGGTGGGCTGGGAACAGCAAGCCATGCTGGACTTGGGAGCAAATTCCTCTTTGCTGAGATCCATTCCAGCCTGACTTACTGACGCAGCCTTCCACAAACATGCTGTAGGACAGAAATGCAATCACTGTGTGCTCTGTGCTGGCCAGTGCGCGTGATCTCAAAAGCCAGCTTTGTCTTCTTACCCATCTGGAGGGAGCCACAACGGCTTCGCTTGGGCTGCAGACTATCCAGCAAACTGAAACTCATGGATGCCACAGGTTAGTCTCAGAAAGCATTTGGGGAGAATAGCCTTCACAGTTCTCAGGGCAAACAACATAACAGGTAGAACACATGGTGCGATTCGATGGATGCTAACAGAGGGCTCAACACTACTCCATGTTTGGAGAACACAGCCATTAAAGCAAGGCCTGGATGCACAACGGAAGGCACTCAGAGGTGATATGAGCCCCTTCCCATGTATATCTTTAATATCCTACTCCTGGGTGACAGTCCCAACAGACGTTAATACAAAGCATCAAAATCATAATAGAGGGAACAGATTATTCCCTACCTTCATCTCCTCCTCCATTTCAGAGAGTTTCCGCTCCAGGGCTCGCTTCTCCTGTTTACAGGGATTCATAACAGAGACGGTCAGAGGTGTTTACAAGAAAAACAAAGCGTGTTCTCTTTTAAAGAAAAGCAAAAGTCTTGCATTTCTATGGGAGCCATCACCAAAAAGCACCTCAGAGCACTGCACAGCGAGGAGCAGAGCAGACGGACGTGGCAGCAGGCCGTGTGCTGGGGCCCATTTTGCCCCTACACGTGAGGTGGAGCACAGCTCTCAGGTCCATTCCAACCTGACCTCAGGGTCAGTTAAGACTCAGCCAGACACCACAGCTTAACTTATTGCAACAAATCCGACTGCTTGTTAGGAGGACGGAACGTTCAATCCATCAGATTTCAAGAGTAATCACAAGGATGGACACCCAGCCCGTGCTTTGTCTTGTTTCTCCCTCCCTCCTGAAAGTTCTTATTTATAAGGATCAATAACATTTTAAAGCATAAAGGACTGACAGCCCTGTAGGACTGTGCAATACAATCTGCTGCTCTGTCGCTTCCTATAATGAAAGAAGGAAGTCAGAACATGGCTGATCTGCAAAGAGAGCAGAAAAGTCTCAGGCACAAAAAGGTCAGAACACAATTATAGCCGTGCACTGCTCTGCAAGGCAATAATGTAACATCTTTTAATTAACACTTTCCTTCCAGAAATTAGTATGCCCTGTAGAGCAGCACAAGGCAAAGACAGAACCCAGAAGAAAGCAGACACACATACCCTTTTCTCCATCTCCAGCATGCTGGACCGGTCAGAAGTTTTCTCCTGTTTCTGCTATGTAATTAAAAATAGAAAGCTATTAAAATGGAGAGGCATTCACACGATGCTGTACAAAGGCTGGACAGCCCACAGATGCACTTGCCCAGAGAAGCAGCAGTCCTCAGAGAATCACACACACCACACTGCTTTCTGTGCGATGTGACACCAGTCTCCCCTGCAGCAGCTTCCCTCCTGAGCGCTGCATCCCTCCCTCACCACAGATGTGTTGGCATGGCACGGGGCAGCGCTCGCTTTGCCCAGCAGAGGAGCAGCTTTTGGCCTTACCTGGGCTGCCTTTTCCAACTTGGATTTGATGTCAGCCAGCTCGAGCTGCGCTTCTTGCAGTTTTGACTTCAGCTTTTGATTTTCAGACAGGGCGCTTTCGTACAACTGAAATGCAAACGTTTCAATTGACAGGGCTGCTCTTCAGCCACTGTGCTCCAAACAGACACTTTTCACACAGCCTTTGCCTCACACACACCTGGCAGCCCGTGTTACTGATTTCAAGGATTGCATTGAAAGCTTCAGAGCTTTTAGAACAAATAATTCTGGAGTGTCCTAGCAGCACAAAATGATTCAGCTGGGGGTGCACGCTGCGGCCATGCTGGTAGCATTCAAGGTCAGCCTTTTCTTCTCCTTTAAAATCCCTCCCCCATCTCTCCAGCCCGATCCCTCACTCCCTGTTCCCCAGGGGGTCCCTTCACCCCCTGTCCTGTTTTAGCCCTCTGTAGAACTGACGCGTTCGAGAACAGCGAGCATCATTCCCAAAGGCAATGGAAACAGACAATGCTCCAAAGACAGTCGGTGCAGCTTCCGAGGTGCAGCCAGTGACAACATTACATACAGAAACCCCACCTTTTTGTAGTCCCTGTTGCTCTCCTCTTCTGCCCTGCTGCTGAGGGCTGCTAGGCGGTTCTCTCTGCGGCTGTAGGCACTGGAGCGGCTGGAGGCACGGTCGCTGTAGGAGTCACTGGTGGCAGGGGCTGTAGCTGCTTCCAACCTGCAAGGCAAAGACGCAGCACTGTGGAGCAGCTGCAACGCAGGGAATGCCAGTGTGACACAAAGGCGAGCAGAGCCCCGTGCTGAACCAACTGGGAACAGCCCAGCGGATATCAGCCCAAACCCCAGCGGGCAGCAACGTCCCATGCACTGCTGGGATCCCACCTTCACGGTGGGAATGGGCTCCATGCAATGGGATGTCGAAGGTTTTGATCTGCTCATGGCTGCTGGGTGACTGGAGGAGCAAAGGAAGAAAGCAGAGCGGCCCAACAGCTGAGCTGGGCTGAGAACCCACTGGTCAGAGCCAAGGGACGGCTCGTGCCATTGATGTGAAGGAGGGGAACCCCCAGAGCTGTGCAAAAATGGGACACAGAAAAAAGTCTTAAATCTAAAATATTAAATCGGAAAAAAAAAACCCCCGAGAAACAAAGTTCTTACCTGGAAAGTCGTTCATGCTGAAGGAAAGAGGGGAAAAAAAAAAAGAAAAAAAGGGAATTAATGACCAATGAACTAACAGTGCAGCCCCAGCAGCACGTTGCTCCCACCCAGCACACACAGCCTGCTCCAAACTGCGACCCAGCGACTGCTGCAGAGCCTTCTCAACTGCTTCTGCTCCTCTGAAGCGTTTCAGATTTCATTTCCTTCACAAACCCAAAACCTACACAGCCTTGGCTTTTAAATCCTCGCGTCCAGAACTGAAGCCCATTCCTGGGCCCCAAACTCATCTATTGTTTCCCTTTCACATCAAATAGCCTTGCTGGCTTTGATCGCTGCCCACCTTTTCTCCACGGCCAAATACCCACAAGGAAGGAGAGCTTTGCAGGGTGAGAGGAGCTCAGCAGGAGCCGTGGGGAGGCTGAGGAGCTCTCAGCCCCACAGAGCCTGGGGCACGTCGGGCTCTTCCTTCCCCACCTGCATTCCCATCACAGCAGAGCAATGCCCAGCTCTGCCTTCGCTGCAGCCGCTGGTGCTCTTAAAGCACACTGACCTGGGCCAGAGGGGATTACAGGAGTTTTGCTTGGTGCTGCCGTGTCCTGCGGGGCCAACTGTGGTAAACCACAGCTTGTAGTGGAGATCTCTGCACCGGGCAGTTTTCTCCTACAAATGCCAAAGTCAAACAGAACAGCACGGGCTCCTGTGGGATGCACTGCTCCCATCCTCGGCTCCCCCCCATGAGCTCCTCTGTGCATGGGTGCATTGAGCACAAGGGCTGTGCTCAGCCTGCACCACAGCAGGAACACAACAACACGGCAGGTATTGCAAGTCACCACATTTCTAATTCCTCCAACCCCAACACAACCCCCGTCTTCTGCTCAAGAAGGAAACCACCCCACACAGCCCTCTGTCACAGGAACTGTGGGGCCTTGGCCAGGACAAAGGAACTGAACCAAAGCTGAAGCCTCACAGCTGGAGAGCACATTCAGCTGGAGCTGCTAAATCCAAAGCCCAAACCCTGCCATCAGTTGGCATGTCCTCCCCAGGGCTGTGCCTGCAGGGGCTCCATCCGGCTGAGCACAGGGCTGCAGCAGAACCACGGCAGCAGCTCCAGCCCTGTGCTACAGCCTGAATGTCCCGAGCTGGAAGGGGCCCACAGGGAACTGCATCCTTCCCCAGCCTTTCACCTGCAGCCGCCTCCCAGCGCGGTGCTGCAGTGAAGTGGTGCTTCTGAGACACAGATGATACCATATAAAGGCCGGGTCTGGAGAGCAGAGGCTGAACAGAACTCTGCAGCCACTGCTGGCAACGGCCCCGCTGTGATGGAATCACAAACCAGCTTCCATCAGAGGATCGCTCCTCCTCTCGCTATTACTGTCAGGGAAGGAAGGGATGTTTCTTTTGTTTTAGATCAGTTTCTGTCTCAGCCTCTTCTTGAGGTCTGCACACAGGCTATGCTGGTACCCCAAGGACCAGCTTTCTCCGTTCTGCTTTTAAAACGATGACAGAAGAGAGGAGCCATCTCCACCAGGCCCAGCTCCCTTCCAGCCCAGCCCTACCCTGCATTCGGCCACAGCACCCTCAGAAACCTCCAGCTGCAGCTGGGCTGTCCTCCCTGCAATCACTGCTTCTCTGCTCAAACAACCAAATGCCATTTAAATGGCAGCAGCATCACCTGCCGTGCTGCCCGAGGGAGCAGAGCACTGCATGCCCTGAGCTCAGCGCCGCAGCCTCAGCCTCCATCACTCCCTGAAGGAGCAGAGGGCAGCAGCAGCTGAGCCCACCAAGCAGAGCCCTCCTGGCTGAAAAGCACACGGCCTGGTAGGGTTCAAGCAGTGCTGAGAACCAGCCGTACCGACTCTACGAATGCACCATCGTATTTTCCACGTTTTTTTTTCCCACTGGTAACATGGAGCTGCTCTGTCAGCATCGCCCCCAGTGCTGCGTTTCCCCAGAGATCCGAAGCTCCAACAAGAACCAGCAGCAGCCACGGGAACACGGGGCTGTGCCATGAGCCTCCCCAGCTAAACAGGGTCAGGGCGGGGGGAGGAGGGCCCCAGGGAGCAGCACGGCTGCCCTGGTTCTGAAAGCAGCGTGCAGCCAGGCAGGACCTGCAGCCCGGGACGTGAGCGCTGATGGCTGGTAAAGGAAAACTTCGACACGCAGAGCAGCGCTGCAGGGAGCGCCGCCAGGTTTCTGGTCAGCATCAGTGCTCAGAGCTCTCGCAGCAGGAGGATGGGAGTGGGGTTTGCATGTGCACCCCGACCTACAGCCACACACCTCGGGTCACATCCTTCCTCCTGGCTGTGGGATGGCAGCATAGTGCTGGGGTGGCACCGCTTGGCTACTGCTGCCAGCTCCCCTGGGCTGGGGTAGAGCTGGCTGAACCCCACAGTGCTGCAGAACACAGGGCATGGGAGGAAACAGCTCCCATGGGAGCAAACAGCATATGGAATCATACAGAGGTTTGGGTTGGAAGGGACCTTACCACCATTTAGTTCCAACCCCCGGCTCCAGGCAGGGACACCTCACAGCACGCCGGGTTGCTCCAAGCCGATGCTGTGCAGTGCAGGAACGCTGCAGGGTTTGGGTTTTGGATGGAGGAAGGCAGGAGTTTTCCCTTCAAAATACACAAATTCTCACAGCTGTTTGAAGTTCAGTAAGGTAAAATTAAAACCAAACTCCTCGCAGAAGGTTTGGCTGAAATGAAGCCCTGAAATGCAGCGCCAAGAGGGGCTCAGCCTTCTGCCAAGGCAGACACTGCCCCATTGCTTCCAGATGCATTCTTCTGCTGCTCACACCTGACCCAGCACAGGCAGAACAAGTCCACTATTTACATTTCCACCCCCAAAAAAAAGATGCTGTTGGAAAATTTCATGGTTCTTTATCTCCCATTGGCCAACCTCGGGAAAGTCTGCACTATTTTAAGATAGCTCCCAAGGAATTCATTTTGGTGCTTTGTTTCAGGGATCTGATCACCCCCATGATCAACCGCCACTTCGCAGGATCCCAGGGCACAGCCACAGCCCCAATTCCCCCCCCAAACCCACACAGAAAGCCCCAACAACTCCTCCAACGGTGTTGGCAGCCATCCTCCTGCTGCAGACTGCTCTGTCTGCTCCCAGCCCACTGCAGGTTTGCTGCTCTGCTGCACGGCTGCTGCAGGAGGGTCAGCCCCTGTGCACGGCGTGCAGCTGGCAGGGAGCGTGGGGCTGCACTGCAAGAGCTGTGGGGAGGAGCAGGGATGGGTTTGGTGCATGGTGCAGCTTGCAGTTGGACCTGCGGGCTGGGCACAACCAGTGCTCAGGAAGTTTGGTTTTCCAAAGGGTGCAGAAGAATTACAAGGTCTGTTTTGAACTCTGCTTCTCTGAGGTCATTGCCTCGCTGGGAAAGCTGCTGTGCTGACCCAGCGCTGCGGCTCAGCTCCCCGCCAGCTCCAGCCTGGTGATGGATGCTGCTGCCTTCCGCCCGGGCTGCACCGCTGCGAATGCAAGGATCACAAATCCCACTGCCATGATTGATAACACAGCCAAACCACCTCCATCTAACCCCCAACTCCCCAAAGCCTTACGCAAAGCATGTTTTCACAAACGATAAATCAAAAAGCTTTGCTTAAGAAAAACTGCTGTTACTGAAGCATAATATTAAAAGCCCATCAGAGCTGGAATAGCAGCCTTGGCTGCTGCCTGCAACACATTGCATTGCTTATGGCACGAAACAAACACGCAGCTGGGGGGGGCTGACAGCAGCAGCACCTCCATGGCCCCAGCACAGGCAGCTCCCCTGTGCTCCCCCCACCCCCTGCCTCAGTTCCCCACTCCTCCGTGGCCCCTCGGCTCAGCCCCAGCTGCACTTCATTACTGCTGGCTCTGGGGGATAGAGCTCACTGTGTAAAGCACTGAGCTGGATTGTAGTTTAATTTAGGAGAGGCCACAACTCAGAAACCTGGGTCTGCTGCTCTGATTCCTTTTTTTTTTTTTCCCTTCTTTTCGAAAGGATCAAGTTTTATTGCTGAAAAACTTCATTTTGCAAAGCACTCCAGACATGAGGAAATCAAAGCTGAAGGGCCAAGTGACTGAGAGGAGGAGATTGCTGCTCCCAAACTTCTTAATGCCATGGGGCTGCAGGCAGCAGCTCCTCCCCTGCCCTGCACACACTGCTGGGCATTCCCAGGTGTTATCATGGTGTGTTTAAATATCTATTTGGTGCCCCAGTTGCAGCTGCTAAAACCAACCTGTCCTGTTGCAGCCACGTAGCATTTCTGTGACAACTGCATGGGCACAGGGAGTGCTTGCATGGAAAAGCCATTAGGAATGCTGAGGTATGCTGGGCTGTCTGCACTGCACGGAGCATCCTGTGCTGTCAGTTAAAGCTGTTGATGCTGCCTCCCTCTCTCCTCATTTGTTTCTGTCTAAAACAGCTCCGGAGCTGCTGCCAGAGGTGATCTGAGCCCAAACCTGCCCGAGGATGTCAGCTCCAAAGCTTTGCTTCTTCAGGAGTGACCTCAGCTACAGGGGGTTACTAAAAAGAACTGACAAGTCCGTGTAAAAAAACAAAACCAATCCAAGAAGCAGACCAAGCTGACCTGAGGTCAGCACTCCGCATCTGTCATCAGGGGCAGCTCCAAGGACGGGGCAGCACCTCCAGGGTGGGAGCCAGCACAGATGTGCCTGGAGCTGCACAGGTCCAACTGCAGTGCCCAGAGGCAGTGGGGCAGACTGAGCCCTGCCAGCTTTGTTTGCTATGGGTTCGTGTTCCTCTTATGGAAAACAAAGCTATAATGGGCTCCTGCCACTGCAGTAAACACTGGTTTGCAATTCAGAGGTTAGAGTGGTTTTCTGCCTCTGGCTTCCATCCGCTCTCCCCTTCCACCCATTCCCATCCCACAGCACCTCCCCGTCCCCCCCCAGGCTGAGCCCAGATCAGATCTCCTCCTCCTCACCCCTTCTGCACACCGGGCTCCCCCTGCAGCACTGGGCAATCCCACAACAGCACTGCGATCCCAGGCATCCTCTCCCCA